TTGTAGTTGAACAACTGCATGTTTTCAGTAAATACAGGTTGAATAATGTCTCATTGAAACAAACTATCTGGGAAGATTGGCTGGGATTATATGAAAACCTCTGGCTGTGAGCACGTAAAGTCAAGTAATCCATACAGATATTACTCCTATGATCTTAACCTCAGTATGTTTTAACCAACAGTTACAGTTGGCTTAGGGATGATTTTTATAGAAATGCATGGTGAATTTCTTTGGAATGCCTCTGGAAAAAGCTAAACAAACATTTGGGATTCTTTTGCCCTAACAGATTTGAACATTCTTTAAACTATGTTCAAAATATAAATATAAATATATAAATGAGTTGGTTCATGGTTCATGTCTAAAAACTATTTTTGTGGTGGTTATAGTGTATTTCTCTTTTTAATATTACCTTTTCCTATGATTTATGACTTTTTAGGCTTATTCAGTCTTACCAGTCTAATAAACTAAATTTGCATGTTTTCATTTCTTTTGAAGACAAAACAAAGGATGAATAATTATCTCCTACCTTAATTACTTGTATTGAAATAATTAATTTTTAATTTGTCTTTCCACCTTTCTATAGTGCTCCTGATTGTGGAGATCAGTTCTTCCTTTTGGTGTCCATGGGGCATGCAGTACCAAGTAGCTAACAGCCTCTCAGTTAATGTGTTTGAATACAAATAAAAATATCTTGAATTATCATCTTTATTATAAATTATCAAAATTATTTTGAGAACTACCTCTTGGTCATGTTTGTTTTTCTATTAAAGGGGACTTTAAAAGTTATTAGAGGCCGGCGCTGTGGCTCAATAGGCTAATCCTCCACCTAGCGGCGCCGGTACACCGGGTTCTAGTCCCAGTCGGGTGCCGGATTCTTTCCCGGTTGCCCCTCTTCCAGGCCAGCTCTCTGCTATGGCCCGGGAAGGCAGTGGAGGATGGCCCAAGTACTTGGGCCCTGCACCCCATGGGAGACCAGGAGAAGGCACCTGGCTCCTGCCTTCGGATCAGCGTGGTGCGCCGGCCGCAGCGCGCCAGCCGTGGTGGCCATTGGAGGGTGAACTAACAGCAAAAGGAAGACCTGTCTCTCTGTCTCTCTCTCTCTCACTATCCATTCTGCCTGTCAAAAAAAAAAAAAAGTTATTAGAAAATGCAATTGACAGATAGTTTATTTGGAGGCAAAGAACCTTTGAAATGTAGGTGTGGTTTCTTCATAGTATACATTTTCCATGAACTTTTGGTGCCCCCAGTTATTCTTAGGTCCATTTGTCAGGGGCAATGATAGAAAAAATGCTACCTGCCTAGTATCTGGAGTAACAATTAGGTTGGAACATTTCAAAAAGAAGAGAATATTTTCTGACTTGAAGTATAATTTACATTTTCCAAGTTAGAAATGGATTTCACTATTAACATAATTAGCATATTTCTGAACTGGAAGTTGTGTTTCATGATAAAAGTTCTTGTCAGTTTTAAGGACTACCGCTTAAAAACGGGTAACATAAAATCCCACGAATAATGATTCTTCCTACTCCTCAATATATAAAATAACATTGTATAATTCTTTTTTCTTCTCTATATCTTATATTTTAAAATAAAATTTAAGATTAAATCCTAAGAGTACAAGAAGCAGGAAAGAAAAATCTGATTTACTGCCTAACTTAGACTGAAGAGTACGGAGTCCATTTGCTGTAATTCACATGTAGTCTCAAAAATAGTTTAAAAAGGATATGGAATAACTTCTACTATTTTCATATGTTTAAATTTTTAAAATTTATTTGGGTGTATGTGCTTGTATCAACTTGCTTTTAATATGAGTGTGCTTTTTGACATGCAATTCTAATATCTAGTATTTCACAATAAATTAGAAAAAACACAGTGTTGAAAGCAGAACATGCAATCTTCAATGTTTGGCAATTTTGGACCTTATTTAATGGAAAAATCACTCTAAAGGTTTGGCTTTAATTCCATGAAGGTGTCTATATTGTAGTAGTAGGCAACTGAGGTCCCCTAGTGTCACAGCTGAAAATGGCATGCATTTCTATGATTTTGTGAAGGGTGTATGGTGGGGGCAGGGTGGGGTGGAGAGTTGTGGGCACATACAAAGAACAAAAGATATTACTTTAAAATTGACTTATTATTTTAAAGCTGAGGTGAAAGAGTTGTAGAACTAGATTCACTTTGTTTTTTTAGTCAAATCTCAAGGCAAGTTTTTCTTTATTTTTAAGGGAAGAGGAGTTTGTATTTCTTTCATGTGCATAAATTTGTCATTGTAATAAAGATGATTTTTCACAAAATCCTCATCTTTGTGATTATCAACATTTATTAATCATCAAGTGGCATTATGACAATCATTTCCCTGTTATCTCAGAGTAAATGCAAAAGACCTTGTCATGGTCTAAAAGGTCTTACACAGTGTTTCTCTTACCACTTTATCTTTTGCTCATTCTACTGCATGCATTCCGAAACTACTGAGTATTCTGCCATTTCAGGTCCTGCTCTTTATCTTTCCTACTTTAGTTTTTCTTTGCTACTTAATCACTATATGTCATCTTACCTATTTATTTAGTCTTCAAGAAAGGAGTGTAAGTCTATTTTATGCCACATATATAATTTGATAATGTAAAAATCATATAATGAAAATCAGGTGTTGTAGAGAAATATTGTAAAAACTGTAAATAAACTGTAAATAAAAATTGTCTTGCATAGCATGAATAGTTAACCATATTAAATAAAAATCTAACTTTCTAGGAGGTGGAAATGGAAAGTGACATAGATGATTATCTCTGCAAAGTCAAACTACAGGAAGGAGAGAGGGAGATTTTTAACTATCCGTCTCTGTTCTTTGTCTCATGGTATTAATTTAAAGGAGGGGGTCCACTTGCAGTAACTCTTTTAAAAAAATATGAAACTCAGTATTTTTTAAACTTGGATTTATTGATGTAGAATATATATACCTTAAAATTTACCTTCTTTAGTGTACAAGTGAATTTGAGAAATGAACTCATGTAATCACAAATAGAAGAGTTTTCTCATCCAACAAAATTTCCCCATACTCCTTTATATTGCATCCTTTCCTCCCCTACCCTCAAACCCTTGGCAATCACTTATTTCTTATTCCATCCTTTTCCTTTATTTTTTTTATTTTTATTTTTTTGACAGACAGAGTGGACAGTGCAAGAGAGAGACAGAGAGAAAGGTCTTCCTTTTGCCATTGGTTCACCCTCCAATGGCCGCCGCGGCCGGCACACCACGCTGATCCGAAGGCAGGAGCCAGGTACTTCTCCTGGCCTCCCATGGGGTGCAGGGCCCAAGTACTTGGGCCATCCTCCACTGCACTCCCTGGCCACAGCAGAGAGCTGGCCTGGAAGAGGGGCAACTGGGACAGAATCCGGCGCCCGACCAGGACTAGTACCCGGCATGCCGGCGCCGCAAGGCGGAGGATTAGCCTAGTGAGCCGCGGTGCCGGCCCCATCCTTTTCCTTTAAATTCATTTATTTGTTTTATATTCCTCATAGACTAAATATAGTTGAGTTTTAATTATTACCAAATTGGACAACTCTTATGTTTTAATTGGTGAGTTTAGACCAATTACATTTCATGTAATTGTTGATATATCTGGATTAAAAATTATTACTGGGGCGGGGCTTGGTACAACAGGTTAAAGCCTTGGCTTGCAGCATTGGCATCCCATATAGGCACTGCTTTGAGTCCTGGCTGCTCCACTTCTTATCCAGCTTTCTCTCTGTCTCTACCTCTCTATAACTCTTTCAAATAAATAATATAAATCTTTAAACTAAAAATAAAAAATGTTACTCTTCTGATTGTTCTATTTTTTTAAGATATATTTATTTATTTGAAAGTCAGAGTTACACAGAGAGACAAGGAGAGGCAGAGAGAGAAAGGTCTTTCATTCCCAGGTTCACTCCCCAATTGGCTGCAAAGGTCGGAGCTGTGCCATTCCGAAGCCAGGAGCTTCTTCCGGGTCTCCCAGGTGGGTGCCAGGACCCAAGCACTTGTGCCATCTTCTACGGCTTTCCCATGCTGTAGCAGAGAGCTGGACTGGAAGTGGAGCAGCCAGGACTTGAACCAGCACCAAAATGGGGTGCTGGCACTGCAGGCGGCAGCTTTATCCTCTACGCCACAGCTCCAGCCCCTCTATTTGTTCTTTATTCCTTTTTTCTGTTCATTCTGCTTACTTGTGGATAGTTATTTTTAGTGTTCTATTTTATCTCCATTGTTGGTTCATTGTTTATAGCTCTTTTAAAGATTAGTTTTGGTGGTTACCTACACATTTTAATTTTTAAAAAATAAGAAATGATAGAAAATAAATTTGTACTATATTAATATTGGTGGTTTGGAGATTGGACTTGAATGACTCTCCCTTACCTTTCTGTGTATTTATTATTCCTAGCTTCCAACATGGATAGTAAGATAGGAAAGGAAGTAAGAGAAAGTAGACATCTGTGTGCTAGGTGGATTAAAGAGAATAAGTTAAGAATTAAATAGAATTGTTTGATAATTCATAATTACAACAAGCTGCTTTATGGAATGGTATAGAAAATAAGTTAATGTTTATATATTGTAAAATATATGATGATACCTTTTTGTTAGAGCTCACATATTTAGTCTTGAGCAGAATGAACGGTTTTCATGGACATAGTTTTGCCCTATTTTCTGAAGCTTTCCTGAATATTTAACAAAGCCAAGTCTTCCAGAGGTCAGTTGTACCTGACAACAAATAATACAGGCCATTAAAATAAAAATCGTTTCCTATAAAGAATACATACTATTACAATAGCCTTTAGAACATTGTAGATCATTTCTGTTAATATTCTAAAATATATACAAGTGAATATTTTAGAAAATGTATGGGTTCTGTTGTCAAGGAGGAGGTGTAATACAAATGTAATTCTGAATGTTTTCAGTAGGCCTCTTTTCATTTTTTAAAAACAGATTCTATATCTGCTTTGTAATGCATTCTGGACTTTTTGTTTTCTCTCTAGCTATTCAAAGGTTTTGTGCATAGCATTTGAAGTACTTCAGGGCTTACAGTATATGAACAAACATGGTATAGTACACCGAGCACTGTCTCCTCATAATATCCTGTTGGACCAAAAGGTAATTGTCAAATAATAAAATAAACATTTCTGTATTGTTTGGAATTGGATGCTACTGAAATCATGCCCATTCAATTTATCAGAGTAACCATAAGAATAATAATGCAATTTAAGAGTGTTCATAATGAAAGGTCTATATGAAATTGATATGCTTCTCATTATTAGAAAAAAGAATATTTCAATTACTTGAAATCTGTGTGTCTTTTACCAGGACTCATTTTAACGTTGTATTTTTTTTTTCCTTCTACTGCTTTGTTTTTGGGGGGGTGAAGAGGGAAGGGTTCCTGGCCCCCAACTCCCATCCTGCCCAGAACTAGAGTGAACCAGCAAATTGGAAGCAGGATTGGATAAATGTCTTTGCCCTAGGTCTCCCAAATACATAGTTTTTTAAATAGAAAAATATGATTTATTTATATATATATTATGTATATACATGCTTTACATATTTACATATTTAATGAGTATAAATCAGACTAAGTATTGACAGATTTTTCCTAAAATTATGGTATTTTATAACATTTTACATATTGACACTTTAATAAAATAGTATATCTTATTATTTAATAGTTGCCTTACATTTAAAATATATAATAATAATTTTTCCTTGTCGAATATATATTTCATGGTGATTTTTCTTCATTTTTTTGATAGGGACATATTAAATTGGCTAAATTTGGACTTTATCACATGACAGCTCACGGTGATGATGTTGATTTTCCAATTGGGTAAGGAGGTTTCCATCTATTTTAAATTCTGTCTTTAATTTTGTAATCTTTCATAAAATTAAAAATTTATATTTATTTTTGACATGAAAACAGTTTTCCTGTGTTTTAAATCTTGTTTTTTCACATACCTTTTTAAAAGATTATACAGGCCGGCACCGCGGCTCAATAGGCTAACCCTCTGCCTACGGCGCCGGCACACCGGGTTCTAGTCCCAGTCAGGGCACTGGATTCTGTCCCGGTTGCTCCTCTTCCAGTCCAGCTCTCTGCTGTGGCCCGGGAGGGCAGTGGAGGAAGGCCCAAGTCCTTGGGCCCTGCACCCACATGGGAGACCAGGAGAAGCACCTGGCTCTTGGCTTCGGATCAGCGCAATGCACCGGCTGCAACTGCCATTGAGGGGTGAACCAATGGAAGGAAGACCTTTCTATCTGTCTCTCTCACTGCCCCACTCTGCCTGTCAAAAAAAAAAAAGTATACAATGAGTTTTTCCTGTCATCCAAAAATCCCTGGTATTGATCTTTCATTGAATTGGCAGAGAGGCCAATAAATTATTGCCCTTTTTTTTTTTAACCTTATAGTATTTCATAGTACTATAAGAGAATTATACTTCATTGAGAATTAAATAGTAGTCTAAGGCAAGAAGACTGATCAGATACTAAATTAATAATATTGTGTATATGAAGAGACTGAAAAGCAATACCCTTATATTATTTTGATTAAATGTTTTAATTCCCAGTTCTTTAAGTTATTATCATATATTAGGGTCCAACTTGAGTATTGCTAATATGACTCAAGGAAATGTGATAAATTACACTATATGTGTAATTTCAGAGACATTTATTTAATTATTTCTTTAATAGAATTCCATATGTGTATTGCCCTCCAAAAAAGAAAAGGAGATTCATGCGGGCATTGTGGTGAAACTGGATAAGCCACTGCTTCGGATGCCCACATCCTGTATCGGAATGCTGATTTGAGTCCAGTTTAACTTCCTGCTAATGCATCCTAGAGGCAGCAGTGATAGCCTACGTGGTTGGGGATCCACCAGTCATGTAATTAGGCCTGAATGAAATTGTAGACTCCTGGCTTCAGCCTGCTCCAGCCCAGCTATTGTGGGCATTTGTAGAGTAAACCAAGGATTAGAAGATCTTTGTCTCTCTGCTTTTCAAATAAGTAGACAAACAAATCTTTACCAAAAAGAAAGGAGTGGAGATTTCTTTCATGCTATACTCAAATAGATGCTTTTGATATAGACTTATGTGTTTTATTATTTGTATGATCACTTTTAAACATTTTAATAATGTGATTGTTGTGATTCTTTTCTGAGTATTTAAATTGACATTGTTTTAGTTACAAACACAGTACAAAGAATTCTTTCATTCCCCTTGTCAGATTCCCCAAATGTTAACATTTCACTACATATACCTTATCTGTCTTTTCTTAGTGACTATATTGTAAATGTGTATAATGATTTTTTTCAGATAGAGAGAGAGACAGAGAGAGAAAGGTCTTCCTTTGCCGTTGGTTCACCCTCCAATGGCCGCCGCTGCAGCCGGCGCACCGCGCTGATCCTGGCAGGAGCCAGGAGCCAGGTGCTTTTCCTGGTCTCCCATGGGGTGCAGGGCCCAAGCACCTGGGCCATCCTCCACTGCACTCCCTGGCCACAGCAGAGAGCTGGCCTGGAAGAGGGGCAACCGGGACAGAATCCGGCGCCCCAACCGGGACTAGAACCCGGTGTGCCGGCGCCGCAAGGTGGAGGATTAGCCTAGTGAGCCACGGCGCCGGCTCTCACTACATATACCTTATCTGTCTTTTCTTAGTGACTATATTGTAAATGTGTATAATGATTTTTTTCAGATATACTTAAGAGTAATTACCATACATCATTGCCCTTTATTCCTGAATACTTTAGTTTATATTTCCTAAAGAATTTTCTCAATCTCAGAATAATTATCAAAATGAGGAAACTGAAATTAATACAATATTATTATCTATCCTAGAGAACCTAACCATGTTTTTAAAAATTGTGTTTAATGTTTTTTAAAATTTTTTAACAAAAATTTTTTAAAAGACACATAAAAATTATACACATTTATTGGCTAGCATGTAATGTTTCCATATATGGCATATATATTGTGCAATTTACTATCAAGGTAATGTATATGTTTCCTCTGACATTAGTACATCTCTATGTTGAAAACATTTAGAATCCAATTTTCTATTTTTTAAACATAGGAATATATAATACCTTAACATTATGTGTAGTCAGTGAGCAATAGAACTCTAGAACTTACAGTGTGATTTTTTTTTAATAGTATTCATTTCTGGTTTGCTCTTTGGGCTTCCTACAATGAATTCTGTCATACTTTTGCTGAGAATAATGAGTCATGGAGTGTGTTTCTGATGTAGACTATTGCTGAAAAGTTTAATTAGATTTTTAAAGCCCAATTTGTGTGTTGCCATTTTATCTTTAAAACTTAGATTTTTTATTTTTTTCCTACCTAAAATTTTCATTACTTAAGATTACCTCATAATCTTAGGTTGTATTCAATAAAGAAACACTTATTGAGCACTTTTTGGCCTGATGAATATAAAAAAAATGATGGTAGATTCCTATGCTCAACCTCATTTCTGAGTTGGAAAATTTTCTGTTTCGATGTCTCACTTCTTAAGATGTGTAAATTCATAATCTTACAGTTTTGCGGTCACATGGAAACCTAGTTCTTTTGATAAGCATAACAATATTTTGTCAAGACAGCCTATAATTTCTTATTTTAAAAACCCTTTTGAATGTAATAGGTTCTCAACCTCTGTTCTTTTTTATTGTTATTAATTTTTATTTATTTGAAAGGCAGAGAGACAGAGAGAGACAGGAATCTTCTAAACACTGGTTCACTCCCTAAATGGTCTCAGCATTCAGGGTTAGGGCAGACTGAAGCCAGTAGCCTGGAACTCTATCCAGGTATTCCATGTGGGTGGCAGGGACCCAAGTATTTGAGCCATCACCTACTGCCTCTCTAGGTCTGCATTAGCAGGAAGCTGGAATAAGAAGTGGAGCCAGGACTCAAGTCCAGGTACTCTGATGTGGGATGCCAGCATCCCAAGCTGCGTCTTAACTGCACCCTCAAACATACAACCTGTATCTTCTTTGTCATGTATGATAATTGCCTTTCAAAGCAGGACTTAGAAGCTGAAGTAAATGATTGTTAATGATTCTTCCTTTTGTCTAAATCAAATTGTGTAAGAGAAGACTCCAAAAACATAGTTCAAACCTAGATTATGTTAAGTTTTTTCTTTAAGTTAAAGGTGCTTTAATGGTAAATAAAAGGAGGAGGATTTTCTTTAAACATATTGAGCAGTTTGAAGGACTACACTTGAATTTAAAATGTTTGGATAACTTGATCTTGTTTTACCATTTGGTCTGGCTTACTTTGAAGTCATAGACCCAAAGGGTCTTACCAGAAAGTATCAAAGAGTAAAACGTGAAACATTAGCCAGGAAAAATAAAGTGATCAAACAGCTATGGCATGAAAGAAAATATTTACATCAGAAGAAGCTTGCAGTTGATTCAAAAGACAAATATTAAGGAACAACAAAGTAAAATGTTACCATCTGTTTCAAAATATTGTAAAGAGTTAGAAATTGGACACTCATTTCAGTTGGCCAGTAGCTTAATACCTTGTTAAAACATCAAACAGATGATGAAAGCCATTTATATTTATCTCACCAGTCATACTCACAGCAAAGATCTGGTAATTATCTTTGAGTGCTAAAATGCTATGCTAAAGAAGAGAAGGATATTGAAAGATAACATACATCAAAAACAATTCTGAGGATTGTTGTTTTTATTAATTTGTCTTGATTAAAAGGAAAATTGGAATTTCTGTAGCAAGGGTTACCTCTGTACTTCTGTCAGAAGTTTTTGATATGAAAATTTACCCATGGTTTTGTTTTTTGCCCATATTGTCATTTTTGTATTATATGTACTGGAAATCAGGAAAAAGGTAAAGTTTGCTTTTCAGATTGCATTGTGGTGGTAATGATGAAAGCACAATGTTGTATTTGTGTCACATTTTCCATTTTTATAAAGCATCTTTTTGTATTCACTAATATTTATAACAGTTTTATGAGGTAAGTACTATTATTCGATTTTATAGATGTAAGTACCCAAAGCACATATAAAGTAAGTGGTAGAACTGAAATTAAAGCATTGTTGTTATAGCAACAAGCCCAGGGCTTTTCCCAGTAGGTTTCAGCTGTTCTAGAGATTTCAGATATTCATTTAAAAGAGCAGTGTGATTATCTTAGGGTAAAATAAGATAATACAAATTTGTATATGAGAGAACTACTTGTGTAAATTAGAAGATGCTGATGTCAGAATGAGTAAAATGAAAAGGGATTTAAAAGTTTAATTTGCCTATTTGAATTTATTTTTAATGCCTTGACTTATTTGATGCACATTTCACACATAAATAAGAAATACTGGCAATAAGAATGTGAGAAAGTGGCCATAGAAAAGGAGAAATGGAAGTAATATTTGAGACCTACTTTACATATATTATATCAGTATTACATAATGCTTAAATACATTTTGATTATAGTTATTTCAGGATGGCATAGTTTAATTAAATTGAAACATCTAGATTATTGTGCTCATAATTAGGTATGACCATTAAAAAAGTGCATGTATATATATATATAATAAAGAGGGCAAAATTCCATTAGTTTTTCTTCTAAACCTGTTCTTGTTCCTTTTACTTAATAGGCAGAGAGATTCAAATACAACAACTGGTTATATATATCTAATTCTTATTTACTGTTGGCTTTTTGTTTATTAAAGATTTAATTTATTGAAAGGCAGAGTTACAGAGAGAGAGAGAGACAGAGACAGAGAGATCTTCCAGCTGCTGGTTCACTCCCCAAAAAGGCTGCAATGGCCAGAGCTGGACCAATCCGAAGCCAAGAGCCAGGAGCTTCTCCTGGGTCTTGGCCATCTTCTGCTG